TCTTGCTTGGGAAAGACACATGCCTTTAGATCCCAGGAAGTGATGGCAGGAAGCAGAAAGGTATATAAGGCATGAGGACCAGGAACTATAGACTTTTTAGCTTTTAGGCTTTTAGCAGCAGTTCAGCTGAGATACATTCCAGATGAAGACACAGAGGCTTCCAGTTTGAGGAAACAAGATCAGCTGAGAAGTTGGCGAGGTGAGGTTAGCTGTGGCTTGTTCTGTTTCTCTAATCTTTCAGCATTCACCCCAATATCTGGCTCTGGGTTTTCTTTTAATAAGACTGTTTAGAAATTTGTGTTACAGCCCCACACCAGGTGCATCACACAGGAGACTGGGCTCTGCACCCCACCTGGGCAGTACACTAGAGCTGACCTTGTTCTCAGGAGAGCTCTGTTCTCCTCTCCTCTCTCCTCCCCCATTGCCCCACCTAGTATCACCCCTACAGCAGTCAGGAGAGATGGCCTTGCACCTTGCTTGGGCAAAACAGTAGAGCTGGCCCTGGTGATGGGAGTGTGGGGGACCTAGATTTGAGGACTCGAGAGCAGGAGAACTTATCGCACTCCTTGCTGTAAGCTACATTGGGTTATCTAGCAGAGGCAGTGCTAGAGATCTTGCTGGGGTAGTGAAGATTAGAGAAAGCTGGTTGAATGACCAACCCAGCTACCACCCATGCCCAGAGCCAGTACTATGAGTTGGCTTACCCCTACTTTCACCTCATCTATGAACTGTTGGACTTGTGACCAGCAAGCTGAACCTGCAGATCCAAAACATCAGGATCTTCATGACACAGAAAAACAGGATATCCAAGAAGATCCCTAGTGTGAGACCATTATTGGAATATAGCAGAAACCAGAGACCTCCAGCTAGACCAATGACTCTGATAGTGAACACCTGCAATTAAAGATGAATGGACTAAAGGATAAACTGTGTGACTTAACAGCTTCCACAAGATCATCATCATCTTCTTCTTCTTCTTCTTCTTCTTCTTCTTCTTCTTCTTCTTCTTCTTCTTCTTCTTCTTCTTCTTTTTCTTCTTCTTCTTCTTCTTCTTCCTCTTCTTCCTCTTCTTCTTTCTCTTCTTCTTTTTCTTCTTCCTTCCTTCCTTCCTTCCTTCCTTCCTTTCTTCCTCCTCCTCCTCCTCCTTCCTCTTTTTCTTCTTTTTGTTTTTTGCTTTCTCTTAAATTTGGATTTAATTTGGGGGCAGGTTGCAAAGGCAGAGGGTGGAGATAAGTAGGATTGGAATACATGATATGAAATCCACAAAGAATCAATAAAAGTTTAAAAAACAAAACAAACAAACAAACAAAATTACCTGAAGTGCATTTTCTGTATATCTTAAACATTTCACATTATAATTTCATTGCTTTGCAGTCTGATTTCTCCATAGACAATACTTTCACAGCAAAAAACTCATCTCAAAGAAATGCATATAATATATTAAAGAATTCTCATAAATCCCATGGGCTCTTAAATGGTAGACACTACTAACCCAAAGTTATGTAAGGGCAGACACTCAGTATTTCCCTTTGATTTCTTCTCAAAGTCTTTGCATCAGTCACATTTTCACAAATGATCCCAGATTCTGAACTCAGGGAACTCTCTGGCTTCTATTTCTAGAGAACTCAGACCTATCTGTCAGGCTTTTAAAGGCAAGCATCTTCCAAGTATTGTGTTTGGCTTGTTTCTACCCACATTTCTTGTGGCTTATGCCAAGGGTGTAACCTAGTAGAATCTTACTTTGGCTTTGATAAGAACTCTTCAAGATGAGCTAGAAAGTTCCTAAGATATTAGACATAAGCAAAATATTAGTTTTCTGGGGGAAGAGCTTAAAAATGATTTAATCTATGCCAATTTTGTGGCAATACTGTGCTGTTTGCACGTTTATGATCATATATTTACTCAGCTTTTTCAGATCCAGCTAGAAGGTAGGGATCACAAAAATCCTAATATAAAGAAGAAAACCCAACGTTGGAGTGAACAAAAGGCCCAGGTTAAATGAGTGAGCAGTAAAGTAGTAATGAAAATCCAACTCTCTCTAATTCTCAAGACTTCTGGGAGCATGGATATCCAATTGTAAAGACATTATTCTGGCAACCAGCAAAACAAATAAAAATGGATAAGCCAACAGTGCAACAAATATTTGAAAAATATGAACGTTACATATTCTAATGTGTTTATGTATTTTCATGCATTTTAATACTATTAAAATAGTCAAGGTCATAGAAGTTCAACTCATGTTATCAAGAAATTAGTTTGGTTTTGGGCTTGAGGATGCTAATTTTAAGGCTTGAGGAGAACATATTTATTCCTCTTAAAGACTTTTAAAGAGTAAGTAAGAAATTGGTAAAAAAAAAAAAACCTATGAAAATTATGAAAGTCAAACTAAAAATAAACTATGTTGGAAAATGTAATATGAACATTGTAAATGAAATGAAAATTCTGAGTAATAAACAGAAAAAATACCATTTGTTCTTTAAATTATGGAGTCTATTGAGGGTAAGTACAGCCAGAAGGACACAGAACAGAAGGGTGTGTGGTAAGAAGGTAGGGCTAGGGGAAATGGAGAAAAACAATAATGCAGTAAGAGTTTCATTAATTGTTTTTTGGAGAGATCTCACTGTGTAGCTCTGGCTGGCTTGTGCTCACTATCTACAGTAAAGTGTCCTTGAACTTGAAGACTGACCAAACTCTTAAGTCCTGAGATTACGTGTGTGCACCATTCTGCCCAGCAACAGTAGTTTTTACGCATGTGTATATATAAAAACATATATGTGTTTATGTGTGAATGTTCCTTTGCATACAAGTTCAAATCTCTCTCTCTCTCTCTCTCTCTCTCTCTCTCTCTCTCTCTCTCTCTCTCTCTCTCTCTATGCACATACGTGCATGCACATGCACAGATGCTAGGGGACAAGATTGGGTTTCATCCTCAAATCACTGATCTCCTTTGAGACAGGGTCTTTCACCGACCCAGCCTACTTAGGTGGGGACCACTGGTGCCCAGGTCTCTTCCTGTCTGTTTCATTAGTACTTGGATTACAGGCACAGATCATGATGCCCAAGGTTGTTTTTTGTTTGTGTGTTTTGTTTTTATTGTGTGTATTCTGGAATTGATATCAGGTCTTCATGCTTGTAGTTAAACACGTTATTAACTTATCTATCTCCCTAGTCCCCTATAACACTAATTTTTAAGTTTATTAAACAATATTTATTTTAGATGAGTGAATCTTTAAAAGATTATCATCCCTTTTCTACAAGGGATATGATAATTTTTAAAGCAGTGTACATTTCTAAAAATGTTCTTGTGTTGAAAATTTTATTTTCAATTGTTATGTGCAATGTGATCATTATTGTACCCTGAGTTTCTAGGCAGAAAGAATAGATAGTTGAATGAGCTCAGAGTTACTAAGTAAACACAAGATTCAAGACTCTTCAGAGAAATCAGCATGATAAAGTGTAATATTTCCTTGGTGTAAAAGTACTTCATTTTAGGAAAATTACTGCAGCTGAGGGACTTTTGTTCTTAAAATTTAAGAGACATATGACCTGTCCAAGATGAATATTATTACAACCCAACTATACATGAATTTTTAAAACATTTTATAAGAAGAAAGTTTTATGGATTAAAGTTGCTATGTCACATGCATTGTCACCTCAGCCATTATTTTGTTTAAGACTATGAATTCTATTGAACAGTGTGTTAAATCACTTCTCACCTGGGAAGACTGATGCATTAATTGTCATTTTGTTACATAGTAATCTTAAACCTAGGCTGAAAATGTAACTCGATTGCAACATGAATCGTAAAAGGTCTTATTAATCAAAAACCTGGAGCCAGATATTGGGGTGAAAGCTGAAAGATCAGAGAAGCAGAAAGAAGCCAGTCATGTTCTTACCTCTACAAAATCCTCAGCCTCAAGAGAGAGAGAGTTCCTGTTTCCTCACGCCTTATATACCTTTCTGTGTCCTGCCATATTACTTCCTGGGATTAAAGGCATGTGTTCTTCCCAAGCAAAGACATGAGATCTCAAGTGCTGGGATTATAGATGTGTGCCACCGTGCCTGACTCTGTTCCCAGTGTGGCCTTCAACTAACAGAGATTCAGATGAATCCCTGCCTCCCAAGTGATAGGATTAAGGGTGTGTGCCACCACTCTCTGACCTCTGTGTCTAATCTAATGGCTGGCTCTGTTCTCTGATTCCCAGATAAGTTTATTAGGGTACACAATATACCACCACACTCTTTGGCTAGAGTACTCACATAGGGAGGAAGCTTTGAGTTCAACTCCTGATGTGGAAAACAATCCCCAAACTTAAGTCTCATGTTAGGTGTATATTTTACCAAAGAGATCTGAGGATTAAAAATGTTAATTTGGTTGTTTAAAGCCCATGTATAATTTCATGTCTATGCATAATAATTGTGAACAATCCATTCATTTTAAGCATTTATGGGCATCAGCCATATGCTGTGATGAAAAAGTCAACCTATTTGCTTTATGACAATTGTGACTATGCCAAAATTTCTTCAGTCATTTTGAATTTTAAATTAATCACTAATGTTACCAGCATAAAAAGTAGCATGAAGAAGTTGTTTGACTTATCTGAAACCTAAAATGTATTATATAAATAATTTTAAAACAGCACTTAATATCATTTGCTTTTAATAAACTCACAGAAATGATGCAATCAAGGACACATTTAATTGTATAGGAATATTATTGCATGAAAATGTGTCAAAGTTAGTATTATAACATTTTAATACCTTACTTTATTAAAATAGCTTGATATACATGTATGAGACTGAGATGATTGCCTGGAGTAATTACCTGCAATATAATTAATAATGTTTTTCAAATCATTAATAAGAAGCAGAAGATATTTTTATTTGTTGACTTCCACCTTTTATAAAGATAATGCCTATACCTGGCAATGGTGACCAGGATTTTCCTCACAGGACTCTGTTACACACCTGCGCATTTCTGTCATGAAATTGGAACTTACCTTCCTGACTCAAAGGTGAACCACGTTGAATCCCGACCATATCTTCTTAGTGAGCTAAGAGGCCACATCACCAACTTGACCTTGGCATTGTGGATATCCCAGAGATAGATATTCTCATGGGTGATCTGCATTGTGCATTCACCATAAATATCCAGGTTGGGTGTAGGCATAAGATAGACATTGAATCGTTCTAAAAAGAAACAAAAAGCATGGGGAAATTCAATGAAGTGTTCTCACAGTCTTTGACAATATTGATGTATAAGGCAAAATACCATATTTTGAAGAAGTTCACTAAGCTACTATCACTCATTTGTTTACTCTCTCATTGCACAATGCTATATTGTATACACGTTCTATAGTGACAATTACACATGGTTAAACTGTACCATTGAAACAGAATAGTAGCTAAGTAGAGTCTTTCCCCATGATGCTTATTCTGCTTCTTCATACAGTCAATTGGTTATCATAAACACAACCTTTTCAAGAATTGTCTTATTTATTTAAGAATTAATACTGAATCCCTCTTCTCTCTCTTCAACTGGACTCCTGGAGCTCGACCTGGTGCTTGGCTGTGGATCTCTGCATCTGCTTCCATCAGTTACTCGATGAAGGCTCTATGATGACAGTTAGGGTATTAACTGATCTGTTTACTGGGGTAAGCCAGTTCAGGCACCCTCTCTACTATTGCTAATAGTCATGAGCTAGCTTTTTGGAGCCCATTACCTGGTGGGACACCTTGCACAGCCTTGATGTGTGGGGAGGGGCTTGGATCTGCCTCTACTGAATATACCAGGCTCTGCTGACTCCCCATGGGAGGCCATACCTTGTTGGAGGATTGAATGGGGGTGGTTTTGGGAGGGAAGCCTGGGGGGTGGGAAGAGGGAAATCTGTGGTTGTTATGTAAAATGAATAAAAAATCCCTTAATTAAAAAAACCAATAAATACTGAATCAATCTCACCTTTGTGACCTAAGTATTTCATGTACAATCAGAGTGATTCCCTAACTCCAGAGGACTGCAAAATTATCCAGTGTACATGTAAAAACAATGTAGTCAGGGTCAGAGTTGGCATACAGTAATTGTAGATAGTCATTACTGCCTTCTACAAAACTTGAGACATGCCCTTGGTAAGCAATCTAAAGATATATAATTTCTTTCACTCTGGTATATTTACAGTTGAAAATCCTACTATTAGGCAGTAACTCTAAACCTTGCTTTGTAATTTTCTGTGCATCTCCAAGGCTATTTCAAAGTTTTACAGCCTTTGATTCCCATTTAAATGCATTGAATGCACTTTGAGAAACAAGGGTTTGTAAGTTCCAGGAAGTAAAGAACCTATAAAGTGCTGAATAAAATAAGTGTGCTTCCTAGCACCATATCCTTGGTTTATAGTAAGTAATTAATATCTATCTGTGAAGACATATGAATAAAGACAAATACATAATGAATGGAAGATGTGAAAATTGAGGCATATTGAAAAATAACATCATGATAAGAAGTTTAAGAATTACTGGCAAGGTCTCTGTACATTATAACTTAATTGTGGAGAGTGCTGAAGAAGCAGTGTGGTTGAATTAATTATTTTGAAAAGCACACTGAGGCAGTTGCTGTTAGAAGACACATTTTGAAATGTGTTGCTATCCATCATAACGCCATGTTCTTAAATACTGAATGCTTGCTGGTGCTCAGTGGGAATTGTCTGGATAATAAGAATTTTTCTGGCAGGTATTTTATCAAGTAAGGATTCTGTGAGTCAAAGAACAGTATTCAGAATCCAAGTGGGTTAAATTAACTTAAGCATGAAGGTTTGGGCATTGATAGCCACATGGCACGCATTTATACTCAGTTCTAGATTTTTTTTAAACAAAAACAAATTTGTTTTCATTTTTTGCTTTGGTTACTGACCCATGGAACTAACATGTATATGGATTTCACATTCATTTCCAAGGAAACAGCAATGGAGATCAATGTTATAGCTGAAAATTAAGAACATTGCCCCATTAGTTATCTACAATGAAAAAGCACAAATATGTACTTATTCCATATCTTATATTATTCTTACATTCAACCACTTAAAGAATAGACATTTAGTATTACATCAGTCAAATACCCACCATATTTCTCCTTCCAGTGGGATTATATATAATAAATAAGAGCAGAGATTCATGTAACAGTTTTGTGTAAATGATACTTGAACCCAATGACGAGGCTCAGACATCTAGATAAGGTTAAACATACTTCTTTGGTCAAGACACATTTGATGAAGTTTATTATTTATATCTGTAGTTCATCATATTTCAGTGGCATCTTTTGTGCATAGGGAAACTGCTGTCCGACAAGTGGAAAGTAAAATATTCCTCTCTATTTTTCATTCCATTAATTTCAATCTGAAGATAGCTAAAGAATCAATATCATGATGTCATAAATGAACTTCCTCCAAAATATTGAAATAAGCAAACAGAATTAAATATGACTACTACTGTTTAGGATTCTTGACCCTGGATATATAATCCAATTTGTTGTCTTAAAAGTAGGACACATTCAAATATCAAATAGCCTAATCAGTGAACAATACATGAAACTTACACAAAAAAGCCAAAATACCATTCCATTTTCACAGAAATAATTATGTGATCAAATGTCAATGATAAAACTTTATAAAGGAGAAATAAATATCAATCTTTTCCAGAACTTTGGAGATTATTAATAATAAGTGAATTAAAAGTCACATAACAAAATGTTCTAGGTATCAAAACCATGGAGCCATTTATATATGAAAATGAAGTGTGATTGGATAATTGTCTCAAAAGCAATCTCCCAGACAGCTGTAGGCAATGCAAAGCAAGTGGTATTGCCAATGGGTCTCCTTTTCTTTCTCTTGCCTCTTATTTTTCCTTGCCTCAAATATGTTTTAACCATACAGCTCAAGTTAACATTTTGTTTTTACGGTTTAGAATCTTCAGTTTTTCTTTTGATGCTACTTTTTTTACAATATTTAAAATAATGTAGTTACCTTTAGAAATGTTATTTTTATGCTACATATATTCAAAACCCATTATCTACTAGTGACTGGGTTTTCAGGAATTTTAGATTCAATTAAAATGGTGCTAATTACTACTAACATTTGTGAAGGGTTTTGTTAACAGGTCATTTCAGTATGGGTGGTTTCAATGGCCACCTCTACATTTTTTTGTGATGTTTACTTTTTACATTTTTTTCCTGTTTGACAGTGTTCCATGTTTGTATGATGAATTCTAGTCATTTTCACCCCACCTTGTAGCTAGAGTTTTCCTGCCTGGCCCACAGTCAGGACAAATCTCTCTCACCTGCCAGTCCCACAGCCGCTCAGACCCGACCAAGTAAACACAGAGACTTATATTGGTTACAAACTGTATGGCCGTGGCAGGCTTCTTGCTAACTGTTCTTATAGCTTAAATTAATCCATTTCCAATTAATCTATACCTTGCCACGTGGTTTGTGGCTTACCGGCATCTTCACATGCTGTTTGTCATTGTGGTGGCTAGAAGTGTCTCTCTGACTCAGCCTTCCTCTTCCCAGCTTTTTTCTCCTCCTTGTCCCGCCTATACTTCCTGCCTAGCCAATGGCCAATCAGTGTTTTATTTATTGACTAATCAGCAACACATTTGACATACAGACCATCCCACAGCACCACCTCCCCCTCTCATCTGTCTCCCTCTCCTCCTGGACACTTCTTCTCCACATCCTACTTCCATGTCTTCTTCTGTGTGACTCACAAGTGTAATTAGATTTTCTTGTCCAAATGTGGGTGAAAGGCTACTTTTATTTTTGAGGGGAGTAGAGGCAGTTCATCTGTATTTGCACCAATAAAGACAAGGACATCATCTGCCACATCAATAAAGACAATGACATCACCTGCCCAAACAAGTATTAGTTATCAACAATCTCTCAGGGAGGTGGAATAAGTACATGAGGTGAGTAGTTTCAAACATTGTCAAAGAATGTTACTTTTAAAATGAAAGAGCAAATATTTCATTTCATGATTCAAGTACCAGTTTTTAGACTTTGATGTTCTTGAAAATTACTCATAATGTAGATTTAAACAGAGAATCAAGGCGTCATCCAGCCTTGGCATCTCTACCAGGCAGATGTGAGTTTTTACTTATTCCAGGAGACGCCAAAGCTTTCACTTTGAGTTCCACATTTGTTACATTGTTGATTTGTAATACTAAATTTAAAATTAATAAATTAAGATGTTAAATTTTAAATGTAAAATTAGTATTAAAATATGGCCAAGGATGAAATAATGGCAGAGAAAACAAAGCTTGTAAAATATCATGCCACGTTCTAGTAGGAGAACTCAGAATTATGCTCTAATATTTTCTCATTAACCCCATTTTAAATAACTTGTGACTGACTTGAAAAGAATAATTTTACATGCCAACTGGAACAAAAGAAAAGATATCAAAAAAAGATTTTATGACAGTTCATCATTTGCTAAATGCTAAAATGTTACTTGGTCTGATCTTATGCAATTCTTATATGGACAATGACAGCTGATGTGAGTCCATGAGTGTCGTGGTTCTCTCTTGTCTCAAAGATGCTGAGTCTTTTGTCAGTCATTCTGAACTCCCAGGACTTACAATCCCTGGCCTTTGGGGAGGGGCTGTGACACAGATGCTCCATTGTGGCTGTGTACAACACAGTCACTTATTCGCTATTCTTTAGCCAGTTCTGAGTTTCTACATTAACCAACATCTACTGTACAAAGAAACTTCCTTGATGAGGTCTGAGAGCTGCACTACATGCAGGTAGAGAGGTGTAAATTTGGAGGGTAGTTCGATACTCTGTCCAAAGTCATCACTGTTATTCTTCTGCCTTCTTCCTTCTCATATAGCACCAGGATAATTTCAATTTTTGTAAGAGATACAAAACACAGGTAGAAATGTTAACAGACCAGAAAAGAGATACATCTGTTGAGCCAAGTTTATTGTTATAAATAGCATTTTCAAAAAGATGGTTTTTAAAATTTCACGCACTTATCATGTAACAAAGTCTAATGCATTTGTGATAGCATGGTGGTACCATTAGTTTGTCTTTACTAGAATAAATTTGAGAAATGTTTGTTGAGCACCAATTTTTTTCCCTTTTTTTTCAAAAAAAATGTTCCTTTCATTAGCTGATTGTTGGTAACTTTTACTCATTCTATCCC